AACATTAATTGCTACTATAGTTTCGTTCTTATTATCACTGTGTTTGAAGAATATATTGTTTACATTTTGCATTGTTTGTTTGTAGAACAACATATCTCATGAACTTTAAACACTGGATTTATGTCCTTCGTTATAAGTGTCATATTTCACTGTCATTGTTCTTCAAACATTTGTCATCCAAAGATTAAAAGAACGTCGTGGTGCGTGTATTTTTTATTTTATCTCTTCATTTAATTATTTTTATCATAAAGCTATCATTGTATATAATGTCACTTTTAACATTTTCACTTAGTTTAATTATCTTATCAAATGTAATATTTACATAATCTCTACAGGATTCTATTTCAAAATTAGATTTAAATTTTATCCAAGTCAGACTGGAGCCCCAAAGTGTTTAAAGTAAAAACATATATCACCCAAAGTAACATTTTAAAGTTATGTATTTTGTAAGGATTCCAAAATAAGTTTACTACGAAATATAACATATAAGGCCAGTATTGTCCGGGAATTCTCAAGATTTTTGTCCTCAATAACCCTATGTCTCCGAAACTATTTACCTAACCTGAATTTTAATCTGATTTTGTTAAATTATTTTTTATGATTTTATTACTCCAATTTTAAATAAATAAAGCCAAAAAAACAACATAAGTCTCCATGAAACTAAGATTAAAACTGTTGAGTGTGCTTCAGTTTACGGCCAGGTTTTTCTGTCTCCACGTGTGTACTTGTTTTTAAAGTTTCCACGTTTGTTTGAAGACACAAGTTAAGCCTAAAGATCACGTTAAGGTGTCAAACCGAGATAGGAGAGAAGAAAAACTTGAACTCGGAGGTAGAAAAGTTTACAGTGAATATTGTGCTTTCACGGTAAAATTAAAGTTAAAAGATACATTTAACAAATATTAAGTAACAGTGTGTTTTGTTGAAACTTTTAGTGTTTGTAAGGTAATGTATTCGATATTTAAAAAATTAGAAGTTTTGGAGACGTGAAATAATTCTGTTATATTTCTGCAAGACTCTGGCATTAATTATATCGAAATAAAATGCTATGACGTCATTGAACATAAAGAAGTCAAATATCTTTAGGTTTCTAACATTGTAATACACCAGTAAGTCGGTAACGGTAACAATAATCCTTGTTATCACGTGATGTGTTAAATTCTTCATTAATGTTGATAAAACCACAATTATATAGAAATCTTATTGTGTGACATAACGAGCTTAAGTACAAGTATCAATATATATACATTATTTCCACTAATTTACAAACTCTCTATCGTGGAGAGTTGTTATATTATTAATTTAGATAAACAAACTAATTATTAAACTTAATCATTATGATGATTTAAATTAAGTCCCTTAGGTTAGAGAATGGTCATTCATGACGAAAATTAATCACGTTAGGTTCTCTTGTTGTTTGTATCTGTTTACAAAAAAGGAATTATTGATAATATATACTTAGATGAACAAAGTTTGGTATACTTTGATATATGTTCATTAAACTCCAAAATATTGCATACATGCATCAAAAGATGTCATTTGTAATGCCTTTGTCACCGCTAGGAGGCACCAAATGGGAATTATTGTCAGTCGTGGCTTTGTATAGGTGTCGCTTCAATCATATACTTGAAAAAATCTAAGGAAAATTCTTATCATAAGAAAAAAACTACTTGGAACTTAAATCGTACAGGGAAATATAATTTCCGAAGTTTAATTTTTGTTTTTTCTTCTGATAAAAATCGTTTGCCTAATTATTACCCAATGTAACGTT